GAAGGGCAACTGCATTCTGCCTGGGCTCAAACATGATCCCAGTGACCCAGATTTGGTTTTATCTATTCAATACTCTAAGGAACGTGGAGGGAAATAGAAGCACCTCATTGTGAATACCATCTGAACCCAGTGTCACTGAGTGGCAGATGAACAAAGCAGATTAAAGTTCAGAAAGAGTAAAGAATTATTTCAGTATCACTAATACGCTACTGTACAGCATGTTCAAATCCAAAGGGTAAGTAAGATACAAGAGAAAAATGAGAATTGGTGCAAATGGTCAAAATGTGATCACAGTTAATGTGTAACTAGCATCGGCTTGGAAACAACAGAGCCATTTAGATGAATGAGAGGTGTACATCAGGAAGAATCTTTTCCCAGATATGAGGAAGAGAGACACTAAATTGACAGTGGACACACAAAATAATCAACTTTCTAGTTCAACCAAATGAATAACCCTGCAGGACACTGCATGGGTTTTCTTAAACAAATTGAAATCTATTATTCTGTGCTGTCTGTTGCTGCCTGTGATCCTTACAGGCTGCGTGCCTACAGTGAACAGTCAAAATTTTACCAATAAAGGCACTTTTGCAAGCCATGCACAGTGTAGTGAGGGAGGGAGCAAAGGGTAGCATCAAATTTGTTAGAAAAGATGGGACACAAAGACATAACATGCAGGGAATAAAAGCCAGGGTGAAAGATGAAATTTAATTCAACGTTGTCAAACACACAGAGAAAAAGGAAGATGAGGGCAGAGGAAGAGCCGAGGGACAAAAGAAAGGAGATAATGGGCAGGGAAATTTATTTATTTATTTATTTATTTATTTATGCACATACAAGAATGTACATAAGGAATGTGAGGAAACAAATATGGTAATTACAGTATTGTAAAGCCACTAGCACGCGCAGCGTTTCGGGCAGGTCCTTAATCTAAGAAAATTTTAAGGAGGTAAATACTTGCAAAATTTATAGACAAAAAATGATAACAGATTACATGGAATGAAAAAAAAGATGAGAGAAAATTATAGGTACAGTATATTAAAGCACATAGGTAGCTACGATTGATTGCAATGACAGCTTAAGATGGTAGTTGACAACAAATTGGTAGGCACAATACAGCAGAAACAATATAAGATTGATTGCAATGACAGCTTGAATGGTAGTTGACAAAAAATTGGTAGTCACAATACAGCATATGGCTAGCACATAAAAGAAGACAGCAATGAACACAATGATAAGGTTGTTTGATATTACATAAAAATTAGGAGATTGGGTAACACTAGGTACAGAGCAAATTTAAAGCTCAGTGTAGGAAACTAAATAGATGAAGTTAGGTACTTTTTGGTTTTGCTTTTAAATAAGGCAAAAGTTTTACAGTTTTTCAAATCACTAGGGAGTGAGTTCCATAGACTAGGTCCCTTAATTTGCATAGAGTGTTTACACAGATTAAGTTTGACCCTGGGGATATCAAAGAGATATTTATTTCTGGTGTGGTGATAATGGGTCCTATTACATCTGTCCAGGGAGAGTTTCAGAGCATGGTTTGCATTTAAGAACAGGGTTTTGTAAATGTAGTTGACACAAGAGAATGTGTGGAGGGAGTTAATATTTAGCAAGTTTAGAGATTTAAACAAGGGAGCTGAGTGTTGTCTGAAAGCAGAGTTAGTTATTATTCTGATAGCAGATTTTTGCTGTGTGATGATGGGCTTAAGGTGGTTTGCAGTGGTAGACCCCCATGCACAGATACCATAATTAAGATAGGGGTAGATTAGTGCATAATATAGTGAGAGGAGAGCAGAGTTAGGAACATAATATCTGATTTTGGAGAGTATACCAACTGTCTTAGAGACTTTCTTAGTTATGTGTTGAATGTGGGTGCTGAAGTTGAGTCTCTTGTCTAGGAATAGGCCAAGAAACTTGCCATCATTTTTATTACTGATGTTAATGTTGTCTATCTGTAGCTGAATTGCATTTGATGATTTGCTTCCAAATAAGATGTAGTAAGTCTTTTTGATGTTTAATGTTAGTTTGTTCGTTGACATCCATAAGTGGACTTTTTTTAATTCATTATTCACAACATTATTTAGTGTATGTGGGTTGAGGTTTGAGTAGATAAGGGTAGTATCGTCAGCAAACAATATAGGTTTGAGAATATTAGAGACATTAGGCAGATCGTTTATATAAGAAATAGAAGAGGTCCTAAGATGCTGCCCTGTGGCACTCCAACGGTAATTGGTAGAGTGGAAGAAGTTGTATCATTGATGGTTACATATTGGTGTCTGTCCAAGGGAAGGGTGAAAGAACCAAGGGACAAAAGAAAGGACATACAGTCACTGCTGTGGACGTCATCAAGGACCCACTAAACCAAGTCTATGTAGTTTTACAAGTCTATGTAAACGGAAACATTCTGAGGGAATAAATAATACATAAAGCACCACAGGTTCAAGGATCAATAACAACTGACTCACCAATGCGACTCTAGAAACTAACCTGCTTTCTTTAGTAACACTGTAAAATCTCAAGACTGATACTGCCTCCCTCCATGAGTGTCTCACTCCATGATATCACAGAGACCAATTACACATCAGAATCTTGTTACTCAACTATGTCAACATGAACTCGCCCTATCCATTGTGTTGTTAGGGTCTACTGCACTGCCAATCTGGAATAAATAAAATACATTAAGGTTTTGTATTACAATGTATACCATAGAATTATAACACAAATTATGCCCCAAAATATTTCACTAAGTAATATGTATCTTTTGATCCAAGACTGTCATGATCCTTTTTACATATTACAAAACAAATAAAAACATTTAACATTTAAAATTAGGGCAATTACAGTACAAAATGGATTAGTAGTTTTTTTATATACTACAAGAAATCTTACATTCTTGTACAGCCACTCACACCCATAGTGTTTCGGGCAAGTCCTTAATCCTAATTTTCCCCTGGATACGACCCGCTGAATTGTTTAACAACCAGGTACCTATTCACTGCTGGGTGAACCAGAGGCTACAGTTCAGGATTGGCGCTAAGTAAATCCTTCCCACCCAGGTTACAAACCCAGGCCAAAGCCCTTGCGAAGTGCCAAGTGAGTGTTTTACCACTATGCCACAGGGACTGCAGCTATGTCCTCAAATAATATATATGAGCAATAGCTACAACAGTGGACCCAGAACTACAGCCATTCAATACTTTAGTGCCCTACTAACCATCAGACAAGAGTTAAGCAAATGCAAATCCATACACATATATTCTAAAACTGTACAAACCCAAGGAGGGTGCGAGAGTTTCTTCTTGATGATGATGATGTTATGAATTAAGAGGTGACGATGATCATGGGATTAGATGTGCCCCGCCATACCTGTAAAGGGTTAATCGCAAATCCTAACGGCGAAACGAATGATGCCCATCACCAGACACTACGATGCCTCTCGGATAAGATGAAACTCGGCCCCCCAATGCAAAAGTCATCCGGTGCCCTCCGGCAGAGCAGATACGTTTAGCGTAATAGTGGCTTTAGGCATTGTATGTACTCGCTCTATCTATAAATCCATCAAAATCTGTATCACCCCTTGTATGTATGTACTTTACCTAAATAAACATTTGATTTGATTTGATGCCAGCTGCCCACCAGGGTTGAGGGCACACCAAGACCCACCAACTCCCGGCACCTCTCGACCAAGCCGGCGCCGGACACCGTCATGTTGCCGGGAGAACCAGCCAGAAAACGTTCAAAATTTATCAACCCTCCTGTGATTGATGGTACGAGCAGTTGTTGTGTTGATTTAAGGGCGACGAGTACGAGCAGTTTGCATCAAGGGCTGCGAGAGCGTCTGTTTGTTGATTTCTCGCTGGTCGGTTGCCTCTTTGCTGCTCCGCTGCCGTTTTCTCTATCTCCACCGTGTTGTAGGAGGAACTGATATCATTGCAATAAGATGCATTCCAGGTTGTGTACCACACTAAACTTGTGTTATATATACACAATGAATGCAAAATAATGGTTGGGGGGGATTCCAGACACGGCACCGCTCCTGTGCCAGGTAAGTCCACTACGGGCTCACCATAGCCCGTGCTACTTGCCCCGCTCCTGTGCCAGGTAAGTCCACTACGGGCTCAACATAGCCCGTGCTACTTGGAACTTGTTCCGAGTTGCTGAATCTATAACAACAACAACAACAAAATAAGGGCCTATTTTATTTCTGTACTGCATGCAATGATAAATGTCATTAACTGCAACATTAGTAACGAGCATACAATAAAACGAGTATATGCTACACTCAAAAAGTCATAAACATTCAAGTTTTTGAACAGTCAAAACTTGAGAACCTCAGAAACGTAAATGCTTCCACAAGGCAGTTAGTTGATTTAGCTCCTTCACATTGAGTAGCTCGAGTGCTTTGCATTACCCTGACAAGCTCTTATTGGCGGGTGTGTGGCTTATGGTGGATCCTGAATGGTGCCCCTGTCAAACTGGAGACTGATGGAGAAGCAAGGCTTAAGTGTTGCTGCTGCTGCTGCCATAGCTTCTCCTTCATTGATTGATTGATAAAGATTAAGCCACCCAAGAGGTGGCACGGGCATGAATAGCCCGTAAGTGGTAGCCCTTTTGAGCCATTACCAGTATCAAGAGATGATACTGGAGATCTGTGGAGACGCGACTGCACCCTGCGTGACGGGAGATGTCTCCCGGACCAAATGGTGACCAAATGGTGTCTCCTTCATGGGACATTGATGTATTAAAATCAATATCCACAGTGAATAACCATATTCTGTTCTCTTTCAGCAGATAGTCAGATAGTAAGTTAGTTTCCAAACTTGTCCACAATAGGTTCAATGACCATAATTCATACACATAATGAATAATGAATTCCATAAAGAATTCGACGCTATGCCCCGAAATCATCTCAAGATAACCTACGCACTACTAGGTGAACAGAGGCATTATAGATGAAATCGACTTGAGAATGGTCCAGGACGGACCGAAACGTCGTCGTCCCTTCACCTTTTAGTGTGTGGTCTGATCAACATTCTTCAGCCACGTTACTGTGACTCCTCGCCTGCATTAGATGAAAGAAAATGTGCCCAACTATGTCTGTTCCGCCTGGGATTCGAACCCGACTGTACTAACAGGCATATCTTTATTACTGAAAGTTTGCCTGAAACGCTTTAGGTAATAAGGCAACATTTTATGTCCTACTTTGTCTCTTTGTGAGTACATTCTTGTGAATAAAATATTATTATTATTATTATTATTTATTTTTATTATTGTTATATTGATGATCACGAGACACTATGTGTGTTGCAAGCTTTGCAAGAATGTAATACTCACTCGCCAATTTACAAATACAAATACAAATACAAATATTTGTATTTGTAAATTGGCGAGTGAGTATGTATTATGTATTTATGAGTATGTACTATGAGTGAGTATGTATTTATTTACTTTCACGGCAAATTATATATAAATAAATAAGAAAACGGCTTTTAAAAGGCAGGGGAAAATGTGTCAAAGAAAACTGAAAGTATGGTACACTCAGCCAAACCGACAACACTAGTATAACTGTCCGAACATAACCCATCCTCTTCTTTAGATAGTACTTTATTTTTAACTATGTGCATCATCGTACAAATATCGACGTTCTAATTCATTAGATAGTAGAGCTTTGTACTGTTCACTTTATAGAATCCCGAAAAAATGAACCTAAGAAACTAACTTAAATATTCCTAACCCTTTCCACTACCGCCCACAAGATGGGTATGGGGTGCATAATAAATGAAATAAACTAACTAGGCCTAGTATACACACACACACACACACAATTTAGTATAATCCAATTTATTTCGGCAATTAATTTCTGTATTCTGGGAACTTTAACTTGTTTAATATTTTTATAATTCACCTTTGATCTCTAATAATTAGGTTGGTCAGTTTGCCATGTCGCAAAAAAAGACTTTGTAAAACATTAATCTAATTACTATTGACACCCACTGTGCTTTATTAACCTGTACGACAAACAAGTTCAAGTTCAAGTTCAAGTATGTTTATTGAGACAAAAAAGAAATACATCTCAAAGGGAAAGAGTAGCTTAGGCTATTTCTACCCTCCTCTACTTCAAGTCCCTAAAGGGGCGCACAAATTCAGTAAGTACAAATAGACAATTAACATTACAAGAATCCCATTTAACATTAACATAACATCGACAAACACTACTCAACTGTAGCACCTCGCCTCTACAGGAAGTAAGGTTTCTGAAGAGCACACTGTAGTTTTAGTTCAGGCGTTATTTAATTATGCAAGATGGCTGTTATTAGTAAACTCTTAACTATTAAAGAATATTGGAAGATATTCTTGCCCTCTACCCAGAGTTTGCTTCTGCAGGTTAATGGATCAACGGTGCACTTCATGTTCCTCTTGACTCCGTGTATGACCAATCTATCCTGCGAGACGGGGATATTTGATGGATGTGGAGCGAGTATATTGTTAATATACTCGCTTACGCTAGTTTTTTCTCTACACAATGTAATCTTTCATACAGAATAGGGTAGCAGGACAATGTGTATACGTAAGCTTATACCCTCTGGAGACTGTTTTTATTGTGAGCAATATTGCATAGTTTCCTTAAACTTCCTTAATTCAAATAAACTAGAAATGGTTTGGTGTTGGCTTTTTCATCTTTATCCACATTTTTTCTGTATGCTACTGAATTAAAATTGAAACTGAAATAAGTTTATTGAGGTAAAATACACACAAAGGGATGAGGTAGCTCAAGCTATTCTCACCCCGTTCAGTACATCGTGTTAATATATACATAGACACACATCACAAACAATAAACATATTACCAAACATTCTGAGATATAATCATATACATTTCTTCCTTTACACAAGTATGTATGCTACTAAACCAACAAGCCAGCGGCTTCCTGTCCTCAGAGATCACTAGTGTTAGTGGCTCTTGTGTAAAAACCTTGAAGTCAAATATTGCGCGCAACACGAATGTAAATACAAGGTCGGTCGGTTACTACTTAAAACGGAGGCTTGTTACTTCTTAATGCATCCTAAATGACGAAAATGAAACATTCTTTGAAGTCGAATCTTTCCAAATTTTATAGGATACATGTGTATCATGGAATTGTTTTGCTACATTGAATATTTCTTATGAAACCGTTAATTATGACAGGTTACAAATGGTAAGTAAGTGCATAAGTGAATGGTAAGTGAATCATTTTCCCGCTAATATTTGTAATATTAGCGGAAAAATGATGTAAAATAACCCGAAAAATGATAAAGTGTATATTAATACACAATAATGTAGTAAAATTAAAGGTATATTTGATATTAGAGAACTATTTACACTTGATGTGGACAAGTCGGGGTGTCCACAATAGCGATCAGCTGACGTCAGTTAACTGGTCGCTGCCAACATGGCTGTCCAGAGGGCAGACGTTAGTGTGGTGCGCATCGTATTTTTATGTATAGTTTGGTATCTAGTTAGCTCGAGTAATAATGTGGTAGGCAAGACGCTGCTTAATGAGTTCCCGTACCCCATGACGGTGACTATGGTGCAGTTAATGTCCATAGCGGTGTATAGTAGCCCGGTGTTGAGATGGATGGGGGTGAGAAGGACAGCTGACATTAGTTGGAGTTATTACAAGCGAATTGTTATTCCTTTGGCCCTGGGCAAGTTTGTGGCCTCTGTCTTCTCCCACGTCAGTATATGGCGGGTCCCGGTCTCCTACGCTCATACAGGTGAGAAACCCTTCATTGTTCGAGTGTTTTAACCCAAGTTCTTAACTAGTTTTCAAGTACGGTACAAAAGTAGTGTTGTAGCATTACTGTAACGCTGTAATTATAAGTTGTGGGGGGACTTAAGTGGGAGGTTTGAGACCATGAATAATTTTGATCACTTTAGTTCAATGTTTTACATTAGTTGTACGTTCTTGTAGGCAGTGGATCACTATATATTTGTTTCTCTGAACATTGCTTTTTGGTCTCTTATGAAGCGGTATATATTTACTTGCTGATCTAAGAGTTCACTAGACTGGGTTGAACTGGATCGAACCAGGCTAGACTAGACAAAATTAGATTGCACTGGCCCTAAATGTGCAAAAAAATTATCACTGTTGACAATTGAGGTTATTATTAACCTCCAATTGTTATTGTCAACTTTATATGAGCAAATAAAGCACATTAATCTTTAAAAAAAAAAAATGGGGTGCATTTTCAGTTTCACTGAAACCTGCCTAATATTCAAGTGTGGAGTTTCTATTATTAATTTTAATAATGGTTATTAAAATAACCATTATTATGGGTATTTTACTTGGTTAGTTTTATTATCCATCTTGTGCTCTATATTTGTACAAAGTCAATTGTAATGGAGTATATACTACAGAAGTGTTTTTTTCGTGGGGAGGGGGAGTAGCTACCAAAGTCAAAATTTATCTGTGTAATTCAATTAGACTAAGTGGGGGCTTGCTGATTAATTTAATGTGACAGATGTAAAAATGTAATGTGCAAGCAATAGAAGTAAGTATTTTACGACACTTGGTACCTCATCTACTGGATTATATTACTTACAATGTCATGTTTGGTGATGAGTTTGTTGGTAAGAAAATAGTTACTGTAACTGGAAAAAGTACTCTCATGTCCTGATATTTAAAGTTAATATTTACCCTCTATTATTTGAATACTTAAGTGTGTAACTCCTAAACATAGCATATGGCATGGAGTTTTGGTACAAACTGCTGATAAAACATGTCAAGCACCACTGTATTTTAGCAAGACGCATTAATTTTTTACAGTGATACGCAGAGATTCAACAAATTTTAAATTTTTGCCTTCAGTCTTCAAATCACTCTCCTGGGGGGCACGCATTAAGCTAATTACAGCAACGACCAATAGCAACAAATCTCTCAATCCAAAACAAAAATCTTATGTGAAAAGCTTTTTTTGTGGTACAATTGAAGTCATGGACTTGAGAGGTGCTGGCTATTAACTGTGCAGTTAAAGAAAGTTTATATTTTAGTTTTATTATTTGCCATTAATTTTAAAGCCAGAAGTGATTTTTTCTGGGTGAAGATTCTCATGCTCTTTATTCTTAACTACTTTAATTTACCGGTCCTAGTAGCACTGTACAGTTGGGTTTGTTCATGACTCAAAATCCAGAATTCTGGGTTCAATTTATGGGTGGTACAAAAATGATTGGTAAAATTTCCCACCACCTAATGCCTCTTATCACCTAGCAGTAAAAAAGTACCCAGAAGCTAGTAAGCTTATTGTGTGGTTGCATTCTGGGAAGGGTCGGTAATTGTGTGTGTGTGTACATACGCTGGTTAAGATTAAATAAGTTAACTTAATGTGGTTTATTTCTAAAGTTGGCATATTTTTTGTTGCTTTACACTAGACACTTTTAAATTAATTTTCCCTAGTAATGATTAATATTATAAGAAATACTTTTTTTATCATTACTCTAAAGCTCTCCAATTTAAACCAAGTACTGTACACTATTCTCTTGGCCTTCTTTATAGCCTGTGTGAGTACTTTTCTTCTGATAATTAGCCAGTAGCACACCCAAGCCTCTACTTTCATAAGCTACATTGTTCACCCAGTAACTTGCCTTCACATTTGGTTTCCAATGCACACTAATTTTTATTTATCGGCATTAAAAAATGATGCGCACGGTATATTCTGACAAGCAAACATTGCACGTTAAAATTAAAAATGAATAAAATCTCTTATATTCACTCATACTATAATACTGATTCAGTTGGTATACTACTATGTGTATACCATTTGCTTCTGAATATACCTGAGGGCCACTAACACACTAGTGGCCTCGACGAGGACAGGAAGCTGGCGGCTTATTAAAGGTCCCCTTATTTGTTCTGGTGATTTTTTTCAAGATTCTCTATGTATTAACGTGCTGTTATAGTAGTAATATAACCAGTGCATATTTGTCTTTATAATATCTGTACATTGCACTGTTATGATACATCATTACATTATTAATGATGATAATAATAATGCTGCCTAAATAATGTGTTGAAAGCTTGCCCCAAACCTAAATACAGTAATGTAATGAAACTGAGACAAAATGAAGTACCATACAATGGAGACAAAAGCACAAGCCACAATACAAACACAAGTTTATTATATACAGCACAGTACAAGACTTTTAATAGAAGTGTAAACCTATAAAATACACAGAGCAATTAGCTTCCAAAGTGATGAGTAAAATGTGTACCAGGACACTTGAAGTATACAGTAATTTGAAAGGGTTATGGGAGTTTTTCTATTCCCCCAGCCCATCCTGGGGCCAGGCTAGGCTTGAGGAGTAGTTGGTTTCCTAAAAGGAGGAAACGTTCTTTTATAAAATGACACTGGAATGGACTCTATACACTGAATTCCTATGGAGATATAGTATAGTAGTAAATAAAAATGCAATGTCTGCAGTTTCATTGAACATCCTAGTGTCTGGATACCCTAGAGTTGATCTCCAGAAGGAAAGACATATCACTCAATTGTTAGGGAATTTTGCTAGTACTGTACATGTCTGTATAACTATATATTTTTATTGTTTATACCCAATTTAGAACTAATCCACAAGGGCCGTGACGAGGATTCGAACCTACGTCCGAGAGCATCCCAGACGCTGCCTTAATCGACTGAGTTTTCATTTACCCAATTTAGTTTTCATTCTGTTAAGCAACACTTATAGAATAACATGCTGTACCCGATTCTCTGACGTTCAGTCCTGTTTTGCTCCGGAGCCTTACATCTGGGAGTGTTTAAAGAATGAGTGACTTACAGTAATTTTTTTTTTTTTGGTACAGTAATAAAGTAATTGGTGTTAAGAACTTATAAATTTAGTGAATGAAAAGCTGCTGTTAATATCCGCTAATACAGTTTTAAGTGATAATATTGTAGTTTAAGTTGGTACTACTGTCTACGTATATACAGTATGTGAAGGGTACGGAAGTGTGAAAGGCAAGGCAACTTTCTGGATATATTTTGTCCACAATTCTTTCCTCGTAGACATATCTGCTCTCTAATAGAGTTAGCAAGAAGTTCAAAATGATTTGGTGATGCTTACCGAAGTTTATTTAATAAAAAAATGTGTTTTCCCTTTTGTTTCAGTGACCACATTCATGAAATCAATAAATACACAAATATTTAGTAGTTTTGATATTTTAAAATGTAATCTTCCATTCGTAACTTACCTGAAATTGTACATGTGACTGAAAAGTTATCATTTACAAACCAGTAGCATCCTATCTATGCTAGATTCACAAATTGGTGGCCATCAGGTACAGTATAGTAATTATAAAATTTGACTTAGGGATGGAGAGACTTCAATGGGCAATGGTATTCATCCTGCAGAATTATCATACGAAGAAAAAAAATGGTCATATAAACAAAAAATACTACAACGAAAATATGAGCAGATATTATGATTTTGATGAAAGATGAGAAAGACAGCCAGGATCAAGACTTTTTGGTAAAGATCCTACTTGTATGTTGCAATAACTGTAATGGCCAAATTAATATTCTGGTGGGGTTTCTGGACCACAGTGGCTCGGGCAAAATGAGAAGCCAGACATTTGTGGAATAATAATTCACAATACAACATTAATTATATCAAGCCTAACCTTACATTGCCTCTAACAGAATGTTTTACTATGCAAGGTTTGAATTGGATCTATTTCCAGTCTGCATAAATCAGCCTAATATACCATCAGGCCTTGAGGACTAAAGACAGACAAGGACGAGCGGAGAACTTCTGGGATAAATTAAATTAATGAAATGCTTTGGAGGAGGAAGAAAATTACTCTGTTGTATGATCTGAATGCAAGAGTAAGAAACCAGATAGTAGCAGATATTTTAGAAGAGTGAGAAGTACCACATACAAATAAAAATGTATATTTTTGTGTAAGAGTTTTGTGTATAGAATTGTACTTGATATTTTTGAAAAGTCTTTTCCGAACAAAAATTAATCAGTAAAGGTACTGTACATAAAGAATAAGGATCATAAAAAATGAACATAACGTATATCTGTGATTGATGGTGCAAGCTTAGACAGTGGGGGTGCTCGGTGAGTGCACCTGCTTGGCATGCAAGTGGCTCTGGTTCTAGATCTCCATTCTTTATTTGTCAGGCTTTGATATAGTCTGGCCTTGTCCAGACTTAACAGCTATCCCAGCTAGGGTGGTTTTATCCAGTGCTGGGTTAATGGCACTGGAAACGTATACTGTAATTTAGATGTAGTACAGAATACTGTATATATATGTTCAGTACTACAGCATATCGTGTGTGCAAATGTGTGTATACTGTACATTGTGTGTGTGTGTGTGTGTAATTACCTAAGTGTAGTTACAGGATGAGAGCTACGCTTGTGGTATCCTGTCTTCCCAGTACTCTTTGTCGTATAACACTTTAAAACTACAGTACTGACGATTTTGGCCTCCACCACTTAGCTTGTTCTAACCGTCCACCACTCTGTTTGCAAAAGAAAACTTTCTAATATTTTTTGGCACCTTTGTTTCCTTAGCTTGAATCTGTGTGCTTGTGTGTGTGTATTTTATTTATTTATATATATTTATTATTTATACATATATCTCACTTTATTTAAAAATTTCATTACACAAAAAGGGTTACAACATTGTTACATGCAGGGTACAAGGCTACCTGTCACAGGTTGTAGAGTTCCTCCAGCTCCTCAGATGGCAGGCAGGAACTATGGATGCACTGAGCATTTCCTCTCTGGATCGCCACACTAAGACGCTGAAAGAGGAAACTGGCGGCTCTAGGGTCTCTAGTTGTTTCATTAAGCTTGGAGCCCAGCTCCTTCAAAAAACTAGCAGCACTTTTACCCCAGGCACCAAATGTGTCTGAGGCAATGGGACCAAAATTGTAGTGATGATAAAGATCTCTGTATTTATGCAACTTGACTGCTTCCTGGTGATTGGCAACACCTCCTGCCTGTGCAGTACTGAAGTTAACATAGGTGTTGGCTAATGTTGAAACGCAAGTGTAGTCCCACACCAACTGTCTACCATTCTTCCAGGGGTTAGAGGAAATATCAAATTACAGTGGTTTAATTTTCACCGTCAAATAAACGTATTCTCATAAACAATATACAGTACTGTATAATATATATAATGCATATGAAACATTCTTTCAAGGTTTATTAATTTTATTTTCTCTCCAGTTAAAGCTACAATGCCTCTGTTCACCATTTTACTTGCAAGAGTTTTATTTGGAGAAAAACAGACAACTAAGGTGAGATTGTGTGAATTTTTGTAAAGCTAAAGTTTAAGATGTGATATATGTTACTTCTGATAGCTCTTGTTCTCTTCTGTGTGCGTAATACCAAAGTTTAGCTGCAGGATGCAAGCTACGCTTGTGATGTCCCATCTTCTCTGTAATCTTCGTTATGAGGTTTTGAGGGGTAAAAGAGGCAAATTATGAGAACATTAAATCAAATAGGCTATATAGTCATAATGGCTTAGCCCTTTCTCCTGATAGTTTCCTTCCCTATGTCACATGTGGATGCCACTTCATGTGAAAAGATATTTGGATAAATCAGATCGTTACAAAAGGGAATAGATTAGTGGGAAGGCAGGACTAAAACTAATCTTTCAAAAGGAATGGACTGAGAAAGTATTAAACTTGGCTACAGGAGGGAGTCAGTGGTATATCATATGGACAAGCACGAGAACCCCTAGTGCACCCCTTTAATTGATCCCAGAACACCCCCCTTTCTCAGATCCTAGCAGAGGAATCAAAGACATTTGAACTACTCGGGCCAAAGCACCCTCCTCAGAATGATGGCCTCTCAGGTATGAACACCAGAACACACTAGGGGATTAATCCTGTTAGTGCAGGGGCAACACCAGCAAGCACTTAGGGAAGGGCAGTCCTAAACATGTAGGGCTCAATGCATAGGCTTGTAAAGACAAGCATGTGAATCAATTACTTTAAACTGGAATGATACACAAGCAAATGGTCACCCACAGGACAGTGTCCAACGAATGGCCAGTGCCTCTCTAGGAAAAATCCAGGACTTGAAAAATGGCCAACTCAATAGAGTAGTTAGCAATAACCAACATCAGATGAATGAGAATTTATTGACATTGGAGCCATCAGCTCCAGTGGTGCCACCACCTGGAGATAGGCATACCTGGAGTGTACCTAGAGAGGGTTTCTGGACTTTTTACTCCCCAAGCCTGACCTGGGGCCAGCCTCGACTTGTGATAACTTGGTCCAACAGGCTGCTGCTTGGGGTAGCTCGCAGGCCCACATATCCACTACAACCCGGTTGGTTCAGCATTTTTTTGCAACACCTAAATGTTTCTTGAAGACTTCCATCTTTGTTCCAAGTGGGTGTGACCTAACTACTGTGTGGATTGTTCATTGGGGTGTTTGCTGTGTTGTTTTGTTAATTCTCTTTTGAGAATTAGCAGTCTCCGTGGTGTAGTGGTAAGACACTCGCCTGGCGTTCCGCGAGCGCTATGTCATGGGTTCGTATCCTGGCCGGGGAGGATTTACTGGGCGCAAATCCTTAACTGTAGCCTCTGTTTAACGCAACAGTAAAATGTGTACTTGGATGAAAAAACGATTCTTCGCGGCAGGGGATCGTATTCCAGGGACCGTAGGATTAAGGACTTGCCCGAAACGCTACGCGTACTAGTGGCTGTACAAGAATGTAACAACTCTTGTATATATCTCAAAAAAAAAAAAAAAATTCTGGGGCCCTGATTCCTCAGTAAGGGTGATCATCGATACCCTGCTTTCTGCGCCACTAGATTTTGTGGCTAGATTTTGGCTTCTGGTCCCCAGTAGGCTTTTAATGACTCACAAGGGCTGATGTGATTTAATAGTGTGGAGCTATCTCAGTGTGGCTAACAACAGGGAGCCTATATTTGGCCCTCCAGAAATTATAGGGAAGACTGGACACTACAAGTGAAGTTCTCATCCTGAAACAGCACTTAGGTGCTGTGATTACACTGACACACACATATTGTACATTTATATATTCTGTTATATATATGTACCTTTATGTCAGTGTGATTTCATTGTGATATACCTGTATATATGCACTACAGTATTTGACAAAAATTACAATGGGTTACTAGCAGCATTAATGAGACAGTTTAAACAGGTTTCAAGAATAGACTGGATAGACAAATGGCAAGAAGGGGTGAATTTAAATGGGACCCCACTAAATGTGGGGCAACAAGAGGGTTTAAATGGTTTAAATGGGACTTGCCTAGTATGGGCTAACAGGCCTACTGGGGTGCTCCCTAATTCTTCAGTTCTTATGTTTTTAATATAAGGAGTGGAATTATTTATTATTTCATTGCAGGTATATTTTTCATTAGTTCCAATCATCTTGGGAGTAGCCATTGCCACTATAACAGAGATCTCTTTCGACATGCTGGGACTTGTTTCTGCGCTAATGTCTACGTGTGGATTCTCACTCCAAAATATTTATTCTAAAAAGGTAAGAGTATGTACATTGGCTCCCCCCTTTTTTGTGGGGGGGGGGATTTGTTTTTTAAGAGTGAAATTTGACACTACATAACAGTTAATTGAACATGAACAACTGTCATTTTCTTTGTAAATCTCTCAAATTATTATTCAAACTTAAAAGAGGTTAAGACAGAAACAAAAGATAAAACTTTATTAGATGGTCTCTTAACACCCCAAACAATTTATGTAGTAGCAGGTTTAAAAATATTGTTTATAGTGTGCTAAAATCCATTTAAATAGTTTGAGGCCGAATATTATTTATATCTCTCATGAAGGTGGATCGCTGCTAGCACATTAGAAATTATGATTAAGAAACTTTTTTATTTTCTTAGGTGAAAAGAGAAGAATGATAAGTGTGAATCGGGTATATAATTTTGATACCAGATCTCGCTTGCTCTGCACAATATGATTCTTGAAAGTTCAATCAGGGGTCTAATTATTGATGACTACAGTATTTGGATATTATTGTAATTATAAGTGAATTTTAAAAGCTTGTTATTAAAATTGATGTTTGATAATGATGTAAGTAATATGTTATACAATATAAGTAGCTTAACTTTAAGCAGTCCCCGTGGTGTAGTGGTAAGACACTCACCTGGCGTTTAGCGAACACTTTGTCCTGAGTTCGTATCCTGGCCGGGGAGGATTTACTGGGCGTCAATCCTTAACTGTATCCTCTGTTTACCCAACAGTAAAATGGGTACCTGGTTGTTAAACGATTTGGCAGAGTCGTATTCCGGGGAATATTAGGATTAAGGACTTGCCCGAAATGCTATGGGTGCTAGTGGCTGTACAAGAATGTAACAACTCTTGTATATAATAAAAAAAAAACGTCTTTCTCTCAATAAGGGTCACCTGTATTCGGCAACCTACACCTATACAGTACTGACTTTACCAACTGCATTGTTGGATATGTCAAAATCATAAAAATGTAGGAACTCTTCCAAGAATAAGAATATGAAAATTGTTAGTAGTTTTTCATATTCAAAGTGGAATTAAATAATCTTTTTCAACTTTTGAGAAATATCTATCATGAATTCATAAATGAAAAGAGTATTTGTTCAACAACATCATAACCTGGTCTAGATATGCAATATCTGCCCAAAACACTATGCTTGTTAGTGGCTTTGTAAGAATGTCAATGTTATGTATTCTCTCAAACCCAATATACCTTCTTGTATATAAATAAATAAATATACAGCAATATTAAACAAAAATATGTTGATGGGCAAAAGTGGTGGTTGACTAAGCGGGCAGGTGACTGAATATGGAATAAAAGATCTATAAATATTATTTCAAAGTGTTTCGTTTTAGATATCTTTGATATTTCAACATAAATATTCATGTGCATTGAAATCTAACTAAAAAGGCTTGTTTTAAGACCCTAATGTTCTCACTAATTCAGTCAACAGAGTAATTCAACTTAAGATGGTATCCTAATTATACACATTGCTATATATTCTGTACACACACACATACACCTAAATATTTTTTAATATTTAATGTATTTTTGCAGGTGTTAACTGACACAGGTATCCATCATTTGAGGCTGCTCCACTTGCTCGGATGTTTGGCTCTCTTCATGTTCCTCCCTGTCTGGGTTTTTACTGATGGCCTTAGTATTTTTTACGATGACACATTGGCAAGTATCTAGGTCCCTTCTGTTATTTAATAAAAAGTTCATATCTATTCTACCTCAGTATATCATTGTCTTGAATTATTGGGTATAAACTAATTGCTGGCTAGACAAATATTACATAAGTACCACGTGTGGACATCTGGAACAAATTAACCCTATATGGCTCCTATTGATCTCTGCAATTACCTCCTGTGCTCAAATTGCCATAAGAGATTGACTATATTGGTTTTAAGTACTTTTTTTCAGGTGCCGTGTAAGGGTTAAATGATAAACCTTATCTATGTATAATGAATTGGGTGTATTTAGCCAGGGAAGGCATGTCATTATTTGGAAATTCACTGGAAAGGCCATCAGTAGGATTGGTCAGGATGCAAGCTGTTCAACGAGAATTCCGAGTGATTGTTGGGTGGGAGGTTGTTGACCTTTCCTGGGTGGTAGTGGAAAGATGTAGGGGGGTGGTGGGAAAATTCTGAAGAGTAAAAAGTAATATCAAAGCTAGACATAAATATAACAATGCCATAAGTACTGTATATAGTAAAAAAAATTGCTGAATTATTAAAAATCAAGTGGATAGTTAGTTAGGGGCACTTTTGAGCATGGAAATTGTAGGTGTCATTGCAATAACATAAATGGATAATAATTGTCAACTCTAGTATACAGTACTTCAGGTTGTATTTTATATCAGAATGTACAGATTGTATATACTGTTGATGTGTTATGTATTAAGAAGTGGGAATTGGAGGGGTGTTGTTGTTTATTAAACTCTTAAAAATTAATGACAAATAAATTTAAAATAGAAGCATACAAAATTTGGTATACTTAATTCTTAAGAGATGGAGTAAAGAAATCCACATTAAAGTCAAGAAGTATAATGCTAGAGTGAAGATGAGAATTAGGTTGATGATGAACATGACTTTGAAGGCTTTGACACTTACCTAGCATGCCTGCAAAGCCTAGTGATACAGTACTAGTATGGATAATCTAGATACTCCATACTCAACCCATCCTCCTGTTTAGACAGTACCTATTGTGACTGCCGTCAATAGTCACAAATTTGTACATACTTAGCTTTCAGATAGTAGTATACTGACTAGTAAAGAATTCTTTTAAAATAAATGAAGCTAAAAAACAAATTAAATATTCCTAGGTCTAGTATAGCGCACACATGTACTATATTAGGCCTCAGATATTGTATATTAGGCCTAGGAAGGTTAGGTTAGTTTTAGTTTATCAAAGCAACACAAGTAAAAGATAGTTTTCCAGTTTGTCCAACTCAATAGTTCAAATTTCTACTTGTCAAATTTCATTGTACGTCGGTATATATATACTGTACTATGGTCCTCATTATTACTATAAGTATACTACCCAAACATGAGGATGGGCTGCCATACTAGTATGGATAATAGTGAGTGGTTAGGTTAGAGAACAGAGATGGCCCAGAGTATCATTAACCGAGGATGAAATTACTTTGAATTTTAAAGTAAAGTACAGTACAGTATATTTTATTCAGGAAAGTACATACATAGTTGTTTTACAAAAATAATGTTGGATTTATAGATAGAGCTAGTACATACAATACCTAAAGCCACTAGTACGCATATCGTTTCGGGCAACTGATAAAGGTACTGATGGTGAACAAATACAGAGGAAGGTAGATTTTAATTAGGTTTACTCATGTCAATTGTCTTTAAAAAACCTCCTACAAGGCAAAGAACAATCACATTACATTTCCATATCAACACTTCAAATACAGGGAGGGGAAAACGGAGAAAGAAAAAAAAAAGTGTTGTAAGAGCAACGATTCCTAGCTCAAGTGGTAGACTCGGGAGTCAGGAGACTCGAGTAGCACAATCTATAGCTTGATATTTGTGGATGTGGAGGATGTCTGGCACTCCTGACCGGCGAGGGAGCCGGTCGGCCGGAGCGGACAGCACGCTGGACTTGTGATCCTGTGGTCCTGGGTTCGATCCCAGGCGCCGGCGAGAAACATTGAGCAAAGTTTCTTTCACCCTATGCCCCTGTTACCTAGCAGTAAAATAGGTACCTGGGTGTTAGTCAGCTGTCACGGGCTGCTTCCTGGGGGTGGAAGCCTGGTCGAGGACCGGGCCGCGGGGACACTAAAAAGCCCCGAAATCATCTCAAGATAACCTCCTAACAGTGCTTGTAATTTTTCTCGACCCTGTGCTGGTCCAACCTAAAAGTAACCGTATCATTGTCAATTACCAATAGTTTGCCAGGTTTGATTTTAGTTTTCTAATACACTGACAAGACATCTATATATTACACATGCAATAAATAGCTAACAGTGGCAAAATGCCTTGATATCTACATTTCTTGATAAGGTGATAAAACCCAACCCCAATTAGTTCATTCCAGGAAGTTTATGCTTGAAGCAGCCAAGCAAGCATGTGGAATTCTTTTGTAAATAATAATAATGTTGATTTAAAAATACTGTGGTATGTAATTATTATAGATAACATGATTTAATATGTATATACTGTATATATTTGTTTTAACATTGTTAAATACACCTAGCATTTCAAGCAAAAGTGCTCTTCTATGTTCGTATTTTCAATGCTAAAAAGTATCTGAAATACCTGAAAATAAATCTCATTAGCACCTTCCGTTCAAAGGAGGAGTGTTTGAAAAAAAAAAAAATCCTCAACAATTTACTTGTTCAAATAGATCTCGAGTTCTTAATTTTGTCAATATGCTTCATTTATTTTTGAACAGATTCCTCCTCTATAGAAATGAACAACAGGATAGAGATAATAAGAAATGTTTTGCATAGTTTTTATAATGAGCACCTTATGCCTTTAACTGCTAAGCATAAGGGGCCGGAAGGCAAAAAATATTTGAATTATGTAAAAATTACTTAAAAATGTTAAACAAATCTCCAACTTATTGGCTTGAGCGTTGTGAGAGTTTCATTAAAATATTTTCAGAAAATGATTTTAGACAAATTTTATTTAAAAAGAAGAATGTTTTGTTGATAAGGAGAACAGTTCCTATTAACGGGAACTGAGGGATAATTCAGTAATAGAGAGATGCAAGCACCTAACTGACGCACAAAGATGAAGAAGACGACAAGTAGTAGTAAAAAGTAGCCACAAAGTGGATATGCAGCTGGCTCTTTTATAGCGTTGCTGAGTAATACATAATAACACAAATAATAACAACATTATGCTCTGCAGGCGACGAGTCACAATAACGTGGCTAAAGTATGTTGACCAGACCACACACTAGAAGGTGAAGGGACGATGACGTTTCGGTCCGTCCTGGACCATTCTCAAGTCGATTAAGAATGATTTCAAGACAATCGACTTGAGAATGGTCCAGGACGGACCGAAACGTCGTCGTCCCTTCACCTTCTAGTGTGTGGTCTGGTCAACATCATGCCCTGTTTTGTTATATATCATATAAGTACATTGCCTAAAGTTATTATGTTACTTTCACCAATGTACCCCCAAAAATATTTTTAGGGGAAATTCTTTTTTTGTTTTTTGTTTTGTTTCATTTTCTACTTTGTTTATTATTTGATTTTGTTGTAACCTCTAAATCTCGGAGAGTGCATATTCATCCCTAACTATGTGAAGATAGAATGAAATTGGTCAACAAATAGAATAATCACAACTGGAAGAACTTGGGACTTTGAATACTTTTGGGAGGCTGATTTTTTGCACAGATGTCAAACTCTATTTTCTTTGTCTCTTTAGGTTGCTTTGATGATTAGGGATCAGATTTGAGCTTTTTCACTTATATAAAGTATACCTTAAATATAATCCCTAAATCATTATAATTATTATAATTATCCCCATATTTTGTATTTTTGGGGGGTTATTTTCTTCACTTCGTTTCAACACATACTGACCTACAACTTTCACATATTCAAGTACGAATGCCAAACACTGTTTATTATCACATACAAGTAAATTACTAAATTAGAACTACCGTATTCATTGTCGATAATTTTAACTACAAATATCTATAAAACTAGAGTTTCAAATTTGAGTCGGCTTCAAAAATCCAGTTTCTGACCAATTCTCACCATTTTTACATATAGTGTGCTCAGCTGTCAGTTCTTCAATCCCTACAGAATGGATTGTTTATAAACCCTAAACGTTTGGAGTTATAATTTTTTTGTCTAAATTTGGCACATATTTCAAATGCCAAATTGACAATTTGGTTTACAGTAAACTATACTGAAAACCTATAGTCTAAATATATGAAAATGAAAATCCTGTGTTATTCTGAGAGCATAATAACAACAAATTAGTGATATTTTATATTTTTGAAGCTGATTTCAAATTCTGAAGTTTTCAATATTCAATTTTATAATTATTTTTTATTTTCTTATTTTTCAAGTTACGTTGGTGATCATTTAGACAAAGTTTGAGCATTTGCCTAATAGATTATGCACAAAACATTTGAAAGCATTTCAGCAAATTTTAAAGACTAAGTTCTATGTCCAATTTTATGACATTTTGCACAGCTTAGGGGCAACTAAGCTAACTTAGGGGCAGGTACTGTGTTTTACATATTCCACTCGAGTGATGAAAATGAGTTTCGGAAAATTATAACATAATTATAATAAATAAACAGTTAATTTGTAAAACCATTACAAAGGATAGCTAATGTTCCTATTAATATAGAAAGTGAACATAATGGAAATTTAGAAGTAGGTAGATGCCATACAGCCATATACCATCTCATTTCCAATACTGATTCCACTTGTATAAAATAATGCTTTAGGGATCTGCTTTTTACTAATACAGTGCAATTATTTTCCCATACAGTTGTTACGGAGAGACCCTGGAGAGACGATTATCCTGCTATTGGTAGATGGTGGACTTAATTGGTTGCAGAATTTTGTGGCTTTTACAATTTTAAACTTCGTCACTCCACTCACTTATGCTGTTGCCAATGCCACCAAACGTATTTCTGTTATAACCATTTCTCTCCTATTGTTGAGGAATCCAATCACACTTGCAAATATTGTTGGCATGTTCCTGGCTATTATAGGAGTTCTGGGCTACAATAAGGTAACAAAAAAAAAGTATTGTGCATGCATGATGATGATGATGATAATAAAACTATACATAAAGAAAACACACTAATGTGATCAATGAGGAAATCATTTGGAGCAATGCAGGGACTCGAAGCAGAGATCTGGGCACTCCCAGCTGCGCACCTTACCCCTGTACGACACCATGGTAAAGGTTATACAATGTGGGATTCCACTGAATCTACAGCTGTGAATTCATTGAATCCCAAGGTGTATAACCTTTACCACATTGTGGTATAGGGATACGATATGCAGCTCAGAGTACCCACATCATTGCGTTTGAGTCACCACATTACTTAAATTTATTTCTTCAATAAAGCTATTATTAGAGACTTAGCCAACCCCCCAAAATTAACAAGTCAATATAGGTTATAAAGTACAGTACTGTACAGTAATTAGTTTAACAGAAGAGATTACATTGCTCATCAACTGCAAGAGATGTGTTGACTGGGTAATGCAAGAGAGATACAGTATTGGGATTATTGCATTTAATGTGTGCAGCGAGTCATAAAACTACAGCAGCCACATACAGTACATATATTTGCTTTTAATCTACCATTGTAAAATAATAGCGAGCACTGCATATTTTTTAAACTAAAGTCAATTTTAATTAAGATTCGTTTAATACCCTTGAACAGACCCTCCCCTTTCTGTAGCACAGTAGTCTATGTCCTTGGCTTTCAACCAAGGGTTCCAGGTTGTTCTGAGCAAGACAAAATTGGTTGGGCACATTTCGTTTCACCTGATGCTTCCGTTCATCTAGCACCAAGATAGGTACCTGGAAGTCAGGCAACTATTGTGGGTTGCATCCTGGGGAAAGGTCAGTAGTTGACCTTGGGAACATCAGTAAGCCTAAGTATAGTACATATAGGCTTCCTGACCCAAACAATGGGATTTAACAAATGTTTGAACACTGGATATTTGAGTCAGTCTGATTACTGACACATTGCCACCAAATGGACTAATTGGCAAATACTGTACACCATTGTATGAAATTTCATCCAATTTATCCATTCATTGGAGAATATTAAAATATATTCCAATACAAATTTGAAAAATAATAATCATTAAAACTGCATAATAGCATTAACTCCAAAAATGGATAAAGTTTGGGTTAGAAATTATATTCCTGAACCCTCAACTATGGTCACAAAACAAGGAAATATGTACATATTTTGTTTTGGGAAGAGAAAGAAATGGCTGTAAAAATTAATAATTAAATTAATACTTCATTAAGTCTGTAATGAGCTATATTACAATTAATGTTAGAAGTGAATAAAACTATTTTCTGGAAACATTATAGTGAACTGAAACATGCTCTTGTAAAAAAAAAAAAAAAAAAAAAGTAATGGGGATTGTTTATAACGAGACAAAGTAGCAGTAAGAAATGACCTCCCCTCTTTCCCTTTTGCATGTCCTTGATTCTCAGGATAACACTTAAGAGGCTTAACACTAAATAACACCAAAAGGGTCTCGTAGTGCATTTGGCTTTGTTCTCGGCTCGCAATCGGGAATCCTGTGTTCGATTCCTGGGCGGGACATGAATGTTTGAGCAGCACATTTCCTTTCACCTAATGCCTCTTTTTTTCACCTAGCAGTAAATAGGTACCTGGGAGTTGGGCAAGTGTTGTCAAGTTGCTTTCTGGGGAAGGTCAGTAGTTAGACCTTGGGGGGGGCCCCGATATGTACACAGGCATTCTGTCCCCAACAAAGCAAATTAAAATGCTTTACTGGGATTAACATCCATTTGACATTTTGAAAATAGCTCAATGGCTATTACTAAATAGCCATTGCTATAACCAAAATTATATAATTGGTTATAGTATAACCAAAATTTATTGCTGGATAAACTTTTTTTATTTACTTAACCCCAGTAAAGCAATACAGTATGTAACCCTTTTTGCTGTGCCACTTTAGTGTTGTTCCAGTTTCTATCTTGGGGTCAAAATGGGGCTGTAAATTTTAATATTTTTTTATTTTGGATTTCATTTTGTAATAGCTAATTTAGATAAGAAGCTGTAATAGCATAAGCTGTGTGATACACAACTTCTGTGCTCTTGTATCATTCTATAATTATAATTTTATGCAAGATTTTCAATTAACACTAAACTAATACTTTTTATTGCAGGCCAAATATGATGCTAACCAGGCTAAGAAAAAGGCAGCCGTAGCACCACTCAGTGAAGTGACGAGTAGCAAGATCCTTCAAGGTGCAACAGACGATAACGTATCAACTTACCAGAATCTCTACCACCCGACACATGATGCAAACCCCTTTCAGGCACCTCCTTTCCATCCAGCGTATGTTTTCAATCACACTGGATCAACTGGATTGGGGCCTTATCCCAGGATACCAAATGGTATTACAGACGTTTCCAGCCATGGCGGTCACTCTCAGACTAGTGCTCAGAATGGTTATGTTAACACTGGCATTAGGGCCAGCTTAGCAAATAGCTCTAACGAACAAAATATGAGATCAAATGGGAGAGTAGCTAATATATGAATCTCTAAACGGTTAGTTAAATAAAATTCTATATTTTTTTACACGATTGTTATAATCCACAAAAATTTTGATAGTGTAGATGAAATTTAATACCTCTGCGAACAAATAATATCCACAGCGTTAATTGGCAGTGGGATATTTCGAATATTCATGCTAAGTAACTTAAATTGTTGGTGCCTTTTTGTACTTTTCTAGCTTAAAAATAATTATGGAGGGGCTTTAAATAAATGCATGATATAGTTTAACACGGTTATTAATTTTTGATTGGTCGGATGTTTGTGTAAAGTTAGAGTGAATAATTTGTTACTACATGCAATAAATTTATATTGTTTTTTTTTGTAAGAAGTTTTAGAATTTGATATTTTTACATTTGATATTTTTAAAGCCAAAGACATGTAGATTTCACTAATGTTTACTTTAAACTTTTTGTTTTCAAAGACATTTTAATAAATATTTGTTACTTTTAAAAGTTATTTTATGATTTTGTTATAAACTAAAAGTAAAATAACTTTAATATACAGAAAATAGCCAGCAAGACTAACAAGCAAGAGAGACTGAGAATGTTGTGTTAGTTTTAATATTGTTTATATGTTGGACTTTTAATTTCGTTACGAGCAAGTATTTTGTTAAATACTGTGATATAGATTTCAAAATTTGTGATAATTTTTTAATTAGTCAGATAGTAGTAAATATCAAGGACATATTTTCAGCTCATTAAATCACATAAAACTTTCATATATAAACGCGCGCGCACACACACACACACACACACACACACATACATATATATATAATAATATGATCACGCTGCACACGATAGCAAAAGAAATAGACGAGGACAACCCTCTTCTAAACTCGGAGAAAACAAAACAGGAATTCAGGTCAAGTTGATATTGCATGTGGGTCACCTAGAACTGTAATAAAGACCTTGAACTTGCTTAATGGATTGAATGAGGATATTGTGGATGCCACTTCAATTCACAATTTCAAAAGCAAATACAAAACGAGACCATCAATCTAGTTAAAAATTCACTAAGTACAAAATTGCTAGTAGGCAGGGTATACACAACTAGACTTCATTCTCCATTTGTCACTGATGAGGTAAACACAAAAAAACACATACACTCTCCTGAGAACACACGCATGAGAACCTCTCTTTCTTTCTCCTTCACTCAAAACTACGGAATGAGGTACTTTACCAAAAACACAGATAACTGTAACAAGGAATTACACATACACACGTCATTACCTAAAGTGTAGTTACAGGATGAGAGCTATGCTCCTGGTGTCCCATTTTTCCCAGTTCTCTGTTTTATAACGCTGTGAAACTACGGATGGTTTTGTATGTGTGTGTGTATGTATACATTCGTGCATTAATTCAATATGAGAGATCAAAACCCTTGCACAGGACAGAACTGTCAACATTCACAAGGTGATTTTATGAAGCTGCAACACTAAGACTGAGAACCCTAATGATATTAACAGTAATTATTACCGGTAAAAGGTGTCTGAATCATTAATGCCATTTTGATATTACTAACATTGTCTTGCATTCCAGAAGTTCCTCTCTTAAGACCTAATTTACTCTTTATATGCCATGAAAGAAACATTAAATAAAATTCCCCCAGTGTTCAATAGCTGTAACTGTTCCGTGACTCTTATCTTAAGCACTTGATTGAGAAAAGCACACAAGCGCTTATTGTAATGTAGAGGAATGCAAGGTGACACTTAACATGTAATGCTTTGATCAAGCACTTGCAGACGAAACGTCATCTTGCATGACGTTTATACTCGACTTGCATTTCTCTTCATTCTTAAAAACGCTGCGAGTGATCTAAAGTAAAAATTATTCAGTACTCGCATAAGTTATATAAACAAAGCTGCAATAATTTTTGGCTTGATAATTTTGGTTATAAATTACATATTTTTTTAACTACGAACGTCTAGATTTTTAATATTGAACAACATATTTTACTGCAGATCTGATGGCCTGTGTGTTATACACCATTAGGCTATGTACATAGAAGATAAATAAACATTTAAACAACATTATATGCATTTATTTAATTTATTTTGTTATGACTACACAAAACTTGGCACTAGACCTCTTCTGTACAGTACTAAACATAATGATTAACAATTGCATTATTACAAATGTTTTTACAAAGAAATACAAACAGGCACATGCACTATGGTGTCATAAATATGATATTCATAAAAAATTAAATTTGTGTTCATAATACAATGGAAAAATTAAGTCTGATAATTGGGTGGAGCTTATCAGACCATGAAGTAGGAAAGCCATGCTCCCTAATCAACCTGTCCTCTCAAATAGCACAGTGCATTTAGACGTACAAAATTCCCAACGGCCAAAATATGATGTACTATAAATAATAGAGGCTCGTCAAATTACCAGGCTGTCCCGTTTTCTATTCTTTAATCCTTGGTTAGATTAGGTTCACGTAAATTAGTACGTCATTTTTTATGATGATGTGACGGCTCGAGAGGACTGGCTGCCCTAATACCTAACTAGCCTTTGTATAGCTATAGTGTGTAGCTATTCACAACTTGCTTGTCTATGGGAATTTTGTTTAGAATAGTGATGTTTGGTACTGTGGGTTAGAGGATATATATAACAACATGGAGCAACTAAACAAATAAAATAAGATAAATGATTAAGTTAATTCAGCAACCATTTTGAAAATTCACAGAAAATCGGTTTTGCTTTAAATGCTTTTCTTTTTACAATAAAAAACAACAGTCAGTTGCATTAATGCATTTACATGCATTAATAAACCTGTACAAATGGAAAATTATTACAAACATTTCAATTGAGGCTAGTTTTGTGCCCTGTAGGTAAAATTGCTTATAAATCAGTAGTTATACAATAACATAAATTTTAACGCAACCCCTATTTTTCTTTTTACGATAGGGCAATCATTTGTGAGCATTTATATCTATACAAAAATAACATAATAGTAAACAGGTGAATAAATGTGATTATATTATGAACATTCAAGAGGGAAGCTCAGGAGTCAAACTTCACTCTCGTTCCCTTCGTTGACCTTCATTAGGAGCACCATTGCTATGCAATATTTTCCCTTTATTTTCTAAACTATACAACAGAGCAGTAATTTTGTGAACATTTACAGTTAAAATTAATATACAGCAATAACTGAACAAACGTAAAATTATTATAACCGTTTGGGTTGCGGCATACCAGCAGACGACAGCTTTTGAGTGTTAAAATTATTCATTACTTCTGCTGGTCTTTAATACTCACTCACTTTTAGCACAGGAATTCGTTCTAATTATATATTCTCAACAATATTTTTTATTATCACTGAGCAGAGATGCAAACACTGATATAATGTCAACATTTTATATATCGTATCTTCCAAGATAGTAAATACAAATCCAATATATAGTGTAACAGTAAGTTATTATTTTCTATAACATTGACATATAAGAGAATATGTTGTCTAAAGTTGATTTTGTTAATATTTCAGTTCACTTGTATAGCAGTCAAGACAATAACAAAATTATTAGTTACCATCTTTTAAACCAAGCATATGGGAAACTCATAGCCCAAACCCGGCAGGTAGACCACAGACTATCATTATCGACAGTAACGTGCTTGACTGGCAATTGTTAACACTTCAGACTGTCAGGGGGGTACAAAATATTGTCTCTGGCTTGAAGTGTCCTAACTGTAGGATGCTCATTGTTACGCCAAGTTACCTCAAGGTAACTATGTAGCTGACAGGTTACAAAGTAGAACCTCTGCACTCAATAGCTGGCCCTGATGCTCAATATAAAGCTAATGGATTACAGTACAGTACTTGTAAAAACATAAACAAAAATGTAAACCCATTATTATTATTGTTCCACAAATAGTAAGAAAACATTTAGTAATTTTGTCCAAAAATTACCATATTTGCAATTTTTTTGTACCACAACTAACATAATTTGAATTTCCACACACACTATAAATCAAAAATATAATCTAAAAATGAAATTTCAGCTTACCTTGTTGTAGTATGTCTTGTTGATTGATACTGTGGATCTTGAAATGTGTAGTTCTTGAAAATTTACATAAACTAACCTCAGGTTATCCGGATTTCTCTCCCGGATATGACAAAATTTTGCCAAAAAATTATCCGGATGCCATTTTGGCCGGATAACCCGAATATCCAGTTAAATGGAATCCGGGATAAGCGAGTGCATACAGCATTTGTCACTGGACAACCCTAAAAAAATTTGTTCTCAGAGATCTTGCTTGTTTGTTTTGATTTGAGGGCTTGTGACATTTATATAATTTTTCTGTATATTTTATTCTATTCATATAAGCATAGAGGGTTCCAAGCTCAGCTTGGCATACAATACAATAATTTCATCGGTGTACAGGATGGAGGATCTGAGCTCGTAGCAATAGTTTAACAAAGTGGTGCTTTGGTGAGTTTTTATTTAAAGTGTACCATTTTAATGCAGTACAACCTCAATAGAACATTGTTTTAATCAGTTAGGCATTTTACAAAAAGACTGCATTGCATGTAATCAATCATGTAAAAGTAACTAATAAGTGTGATTGTCGTGAGGGACGTATTTGTTTCGTGTTTAGCAGCGACAAACGAAAATGTGTAATTTTTCAGAGCTGCTTTTCATCACTATTATTGCCACATGGATGTCATGTTGATTCTGACAAGGTATTACTCCATGTATTTTTCCCTCCAATTGATGTTCAACATTTTCACGTGTTCTGTGATTAATAATGTTTTTCAGGTGGTTATAAGAGTTAGATATGACATGTTAGTCCTAACTGCTACTGGTAATTATGTTACGTATGTGCTGCACATAGTCCTGTAATGCTTTATATAATCTGTCAATATATTTATTTATTTATTTGTTTATTTAATTTGATGTAAAGTTCTGTACCATATTTAAGATATATTTATTCTTGGAGACAATGGTTTTATGAATGAAAGGAAATGTCAGTGCCATGGTATGATTGATATGCTATCATGCCAGTTAATAGTTATCTCCTTGCATCTCTGGCTATACTTTCTTTCTTTCTTTCTTTCTGGGAAGTTACATAGAGAGACTGGCAGTGAAGGAAGAGGACTCAATGATCCATCTAAATTCAGTACTTTGCTTTCATTAGACAAGAGCATACTCCTACTTTCACTTTTGTTTAGGACACTACTCTTCTCGTCATTTTTCCTAACATTCACCTCACCAAGTATACTCTGTTGATATTTTGAATTAACCATTATACCCTTTCCAAATGGTCATCTTTATGGAAAGTGTTGTTGTTATCATTCTATGACCCCATAACTCTAGTGGCTTTCCCAGCCGTCTCACATCATCATATGTTCCGTATTTATCTTGCCATTTTCTTTGTGTGCTCCGATATTAATTATTGCCTTGTGCTTTCTTTCATAGATAAAAAGCAGAAGATTGTATACTATCTTGCTTGCTTGTCTTTACACATATTGTATATTTTATCCATCCCCAAAAGATCTGACCACTATTGTTTTTTGTACTGGATATACCTCTGCTTCTCCTCCACTGTGCAAGATTTATGCACTAATGATAAATGTTTGAACCATAATTCCCTATTGCTTGCACTCCTCTATACGTCATGGTACAGAATTATCAGCCATGCTTTTAATCCTTTCTGATCTTCACTCACTTCAGGAACTATCACCTTTCTGTCATTACTGTTTACCTTTAGCATCCTTCTATTACAGTGTATGACTCGTTTACAAGTACTGTTTTGATTGCTGCAGTACTGAGACACTTTTACGAAGACTGGTTGGCAAAAAACATACAAATCTAGCTTAGGTTCTTGCCTACCCATTATAGGATATCAAGCATATAATACACATTATACTTTCACATTTCAAACTGGAATATCAACATTACACAAGTGTTTTTTTATGTAAAATTATTTATTCAACTTAAAAGTATCTTTTGCTAAAGATTGATTTTCAGAACTTATCATAAAACATTGCAATCAAATCTGTTTACCCCCTATATCTTCCGGTAGACAAAATATTTCCGTCCATTGTTGTAATGTTTTGTTATACTTTTTAAAACCCAAAATACAGGATTTTAAAGCTTAATTTTGATAGAAAAAAGTTTTTTCTGAGAATAAATCACATTAATGTGGCTTAAACAACCCAATCCACATACTGTATATGAAATAAAATGAAAGAGATCCCATATCAGTTATTCACGGCTCCTTATCAAGTGATAATGCTCTAATAAATTATTTAAAAAGAAAGATAGGGAGTAATCACCATCAACCAACCAAACCAAACCATCACAAGGTAAGCCTAAAATAGCCTACGTAATAGAATTACAAACAAAAAAATAATAATTTTATTAAATACAGTAGTATTGTACTATGTTTAAGGCGGCTTTACTGAATTTGGTTAATATTTAGTAGGATTTCAAATTACGCCCTTGATAAAATTCCTGATGAAACCGATTATTTTATGAATTATAATTCTTATTATGACAAATAACACCATTTTTTCAGATGTTAAGATATACTCTATGTGAAGTTGATAATTATTTGTCTTAGATTAGTCACAATTCCCCACCCTAATCAGTGGATAGAGTAATAATTAAAAAAAAAGAAACATTTCATTACATAACTTCTTGCTGTCGTTACGTTGCAACATATCCTGATTATTCTTGTCATCAGTATTCCCAACTTTCTAAAGTGACCCTCATCTGCTTTACTACTTCTGATTAGTGCATCACATTGATCTAGATCTTCTCTATTTGGTAATTCAACCTAATGGTCTGTATTCAGCAGTACTGTAAAATATTCCATTAGTAACTACTGTACTGCTTCCTTGTGATGCTGTGCTTAGCTATTGGATAATTTGTCAATATTCTTTCAATACATTTCTACCATCATTCCTTCTCCATAATTTGTTTTGAACAAATGTTAATTGATAAACGTTTGTAAAACATGTTAAAAACAATCATGCCTACAAGTCAATATGGGAGTCTCTTTTGTAAGTTTACACCTGCCCCACATACACCTCTCACTCATCACCTGTTGCTTTCTAATCTTCTACTCAGCATTCATGTTTCACCACAATTATCAACGGTAGACCACCAGCCTCACTGCCTATGGGTCGGCATTCAATCCCCGACTGTCCAGGTGGTTGGGCGCAATTCCATTCCTCTGTCCTATTCTAAATCCTTATCCTCATATCCTTCCAAGTGCTATATAGTCATAATGGCTTAGTGCTTTTTCCTGATAATTACCTCTTGCCTCAGGCTCACACATCCTCTTGAAGTGTAACTTTGTGTTTCAGAGGTCTCGATGAACTTAACCATTTTACACTCAAATCAGTATGTGTACCTAATCTTAGAGGGTCCTACAAACTCCTACCATCCTGCTAGCTATTAAAGCTTTCTATTGTAACTAGACACCACAGCATATTGAAGAAGTCTGACAAGATCCAAAGGATCTCTCTTTTTTTCACATTAAAAGCAAGTCAAATTTAACCATTTACCATATACTGTAGTACTTTTGTCTAAATATTTATAATTAGCCCTTTGCAGAAAGATCCCATTAATATTTCAAAATCCAGCAATCCAAGATTCTAAATTTCATCATTAAACAAAATAAAAATGTAAGGAAGGTTTATGTGGTGGAATTATATGCAAGGCGTATATACATTTAGTACAATAACCAGAATCATGTTGCACCTGCAAAATTTTTGTACTTGTCAGCCGTGCCATTTAATTAGAAAAAATCCCTTGTTCATGTTTAAGTAGAAAAAATTACGTGATCCCACTGCAGTATTATATATCAAAATCTTGCCTAGTGAAATATGATTTGCAGCAGACCATTACATTGCTGATCTTCTTGAGGTTATCTTGAGATGATTTTGGGGCTTGGTGTCCCCGCGGCCCGGTCCTCAGCCAGGCCTCCTTTTTGTTACACATCCCCAGGAAGCAGCCCGAAGCAGCTGTCTAACTCCCAGGTACCTATTTACTGTTAGGTGAACAGGATCATCAGGGTGAAAGAAACTCTGCCCATTTGTTTCCGCCTCCGCCGGGGATCGAACCCAGAACCTTAAGACAACAAATCCTAAGCGCTGTCCACTCAGTCTATTACAGTCCACTATTACAACTATTAAATTGTGTACTCTGGATTTACCTGGAATTTACCTGAGGGCCACTAACACTAGCAGCCTTGACGAGGACAGGAAGCCAGTGGGTTATCAAAAGTCCCCTCATTTGCTCTGATGATCTTTTTAAGTTGGATTTTAAAATTTAACAGATTTGGCATTTAATGCCTTGCCGGGTAGGCGGTTCCATGGCTTTATGACCCTATGGGTGAAAAAGTATCTCCTGTTCTCAGTCCTGCACTGTGGCTTGTGGACCATTAAACTGTTGCTCCTTGTTTGTGTTACATCTGACCTTTTGAAGAAATTGTCCGGATCAACATCCTCCAAATTATTCAGTATCTTAAAAAGTTTCAATGAGATCTGCCCTGTCATGTCTGTAACTCTATTTTCTGGGAATGCATGAAAAAGGGCAAAACCTATGTATAGTTGGTCATTAGCCAAAATTTTCATCAACTGCTTTTATATGGGGGAATAAAAGCAAGATTTCACACTTGAAACATTATACAATTAGCTCCCAGTTATAAATAGGAGTTATGAGAAATAAATGTTAAATGGCTGATCAGTTTAGATGCCCAAGATGTATGATTAACAAAAGAGAAATTTGTGCAGTTGAGAGTATGATCAGAGAAGGAAATTAGCGGTTCATTGAAAACTCTGGTTAGAAAAAACAGGATAGTAATTGATGCAGCAACAAGTCTCCTTGAGTACTCAGCGTCAACTCCTTTTGGATGGATGTGAGATGGTGTTGCATGAATGTGAAGCATCTTGCATTAGAGCAGAAGAAATACACAATCTATAAAGCACTTGTAGTATTTGGAGAATAGATGGAGGAATAACAGTCATGGAGAGATCTGCCGTGCCAAAGTCGAAAAACTGCATGATTAAGGAGAGTATTTCAAGATGGTTTGGCCATACTGAATGACAGTTTTCAGGTAGGACGAGGAGAAGAAGGCAGAAGAGATGGTGGGCAGACATGGTGAAAAATCAGGTAGTTGTAACTGAATGTGAGCAATTCAAGAGATGTGGCAAAAGACAAGACTGTGTGGAAAGAATGAATGTGTTTGCACTGTACAGGTATATGATAATTCATAACCAAACTCGGTGTTTACCTATCGGTGACTTAAAGGGGGGTGAGATCCAGTTCTTTAAGTCCTGTCTCCTACCCATTTATACCTGACATGCTAATTAACTCTCAACATAAACATTTTCACCATATTCTTTCTTCAAGTTTATTTTAAATGTTATGTTTATCCATGATGCCATATACTGTAGTATGAATGTTATAACTTGCATTATTTTTATTATTAATATCTATAACCATCTTTTGCTTCTGTAGAGCCTATATTATTCTCCTTTTTTATGCTTCCTCACCCTGTGAAAGTGAGAAATGGGCATAATAGTGATAAATGAATGTTATGAGTGATTAAATTCAAAATTAAAATTATTTATGGACTAAAACTTTCATTAAAACATAATATTTATCCATTAAATTTTTTTTAATGACATTCTTGGTACCGAGAACCTTCCTCAACATGCAAACACTTAAAAACAATCGTTGACTGCATTAAACTGACTTATGATCTAAATTTTTACACCATGTTGAAACAGTTCGTGTTAAATTCCGTCACTTTAAAAACAGGAACTGACTGTAAATCATTTGACAACATCCCACTAAGACCATATTAGTGAGTGGTGCCTTAACACAACTTGCACGGCATGCTGTATAATTAGTGTCCACCCACTCGGCATGTTCATGGTACGTTGTGCTGAATAAATTATCCATGAAAAATGAGATCGGGACCAGATAAGAACTCATGAAAAGATATAACTATAAATTATTTTAAATATTACCAAAATTAAATAATAACTGCAATAGTGAAATTTGTTGCTGATTAGAGATACTGTACATTAATCCTTCTGAAGATGTATTATTAAATACGAAAGTACATATGGATTCCTATCTTAATCCTGCCTTAAGGATTAAGTACAGTATGTATGTATGTATATACTGTACATACATACATATATGTATACAGTACATACATATATTTTAAGTTGGTTCTGGGATTAATCATGTTGAGGAAATGCTGTTTACAAAGGGTTAAAGCATACATTGTGAATACTGTAATACCTATATGTAGATAAAACTGTAGCGTAAAAGACGCTAAAAACGTAATGTGATTCTCAGGTACTTGTGTACCTACCACTAGAAGAGCACAGTAATGAGGTTACCATAAAAGGTGGGAGTGATAATTACTCCCATAATTACAAACATAATTAAATTTAGTAGTCTGAGTTCTTCCCTCATTTATTGTGATACGTACTGCCAGTGTTCCATAATGTACATTAAACTGAATGTAATTATTCTTGATAACACATCCACCGCTGCATAAGTATTACATGGTAACATGTTGTCGTCGTCCTAATTATTTCTGTACAGGTGCTTG